GACAGAAATCTGCAACTATCCTTTGAAGCAGCGCTCCTCTAAAACAGCAATAAGGATCATTATTAGGTTATTTACATTATTATGTAAATAACAAAATAACTTAGAGCAAAAATTGGGAAACGTGAAGTCCGAAGTCTTTATATTAAGGTCCATCAGTCAAACAATACTGTTGCTCTGGGTCTAAACAGAGCGCGTTGTGTGTGGCATCATCTTTTGCGCATGCGGGCGCTTTGAGCGTTCACACTAGAGCGCGTTTGCTGTTGCATTTTATTTGTAGTGTGAACGAGCAGACAAAAAAATCGGATTTGATCAAAAAATCGGAATTGAGCATCAAGTCCTGCAGTGTGAACGTAGCCTTAGATGTTTGGAAATGTTGTGGTATGCAAAACTAAGAAGAATTGATTTAAAAAAAATCATCCAGAGAACATTTTGTTACATATTTTATTTTTTAATTCCTTGTTCAGACAGCATATTGCTAATTAAAGATGAATTGGACACTGATCCTTATCTTTGGTGGGTTTTGATGTCAACACGAGCAAATGTGTAGCTGCTGGGAAAGATTAGGACAATAATAAGTTGGAACTCTGTCACATCTTCCACTTAATTATTACATTAACAGCTGTTCTGAATGTTTCCAGGTAGTTGCTTGGCTGAGACAACTCAGTTCGAAACAGATTATTACTCTATCAAAACAATGAACTGAACCCAGGCCAGACAGTGGTGCCAGATCCACAGTCATGGCGGGGATCCAAAACTAAAAGAAGAATTACTACCTAGTCTCCATCCTACCACAGAGATATTGTTTCTTGTATTTCTTGACTGTATTCATCAGAAACCCCACGAAATAACAACACATTGGCAGGTTATGTTGTGTGGCAGGTAGGATGTAGGACCCAAATACAGGACTCACAGACACGAAAGGATGAACTCAAACAGGAAGCTTTATTGCGCTGTAGCAAAAACATACTAGAAACAAAATCCAAAAGCAGAAAACTAGAAACTAAGGACAAGGAACATAAACACTAGGAAACTAGAACGCTAGAAACTAGGTGCAAGGAAACACAAAGCACATGGAAGTGGTACAACACAAGAAAAGGGAACGGAAAACACAGGGCTTAAATATACAAGGGAGTAATGAGAGAATGGGAAACAGGAGGGAACCACAGCTGGGACTAACAAGACATGACGAGACAAGGGGACGCAAAACTAGATACGCTGATATAGGACGCAGACTTTCAAAGTAAAACAGGAAACACGAGAAAATCACAAAGACGCAGACTAGACCCCGAGACCAAAATCCTAGGACTAAAAATATAACACAAGCATAACCAAAACCCATGAATAACCC